GCACATGTACTGGATTCAGTTTAATCACTTTCATTGACGCTGTCACCGATCGAGAAGGTCTGTATGAACACCATCATTTGCGTGGCAATCATCTGAAATAGAAAATTTTATCATGTAGGGGATGACAAGATTTTCGGACCACCTTGTACATTGTATTTCAGTATTATTATATAAGCTATTAGCTTGAGGTAACAAGAATAAACACTTCGGTCTCACTCTTAAGTTCTGAAGTCCTTAGCCACTAGTGGGTTGCAAATTGATCTACGTATTTTCGTCGGAGAAGGAACTGCCTATTTAGAGGCTTTTGGCTCCAGTTTTCTTCTGTTTGTTTTGACCTAGCTTCTTGTTTCATTTTCCTTGTTGATTTTGTGGCAGTTGTATTTTATCCTCCTCATCATCATCCTCCTCCTTATCATCATCATCATCTGTAGCATACTCCGCTTGTTGCAGACTGTGGATCAACATGAGATATTCTTCTCTACAAAGTTCGATCACTAACAGCGGAGTTCAAAAAGTAAAGGTCAAATCCAGTTCATAAGTGGACATTATCAAGCCAGCGTTTTAGCTGTCGATCCCTGCTTCTCTTACCGGCCAACTTTCCTACTAGTCATAACTTACTTCCGCCCTGAGTTGATCTTTTGATATGACCATGCAGTTTAAGCACTCTTAACTTGATAACTGATATGATTGGTTAAAGCTTGGTAATGTTGAGTAACTCATTGACAGAGATATAGTCGCTGAGGCGTTTGTTAGTCATAAGCCTGGTTCTGGAATGTAGCGAGCCTTTGAAGTGACTTTGTCGTCCAGTTAATACGACATAACACAACTGGTAGGATGTAAGCGTCAAAGATCTTAGCCTTCAAATAATGAGAAACTCGCTTTAATGTTAACACGTCTTTGTTTCCTGTTGAGAGCTGCCCGACCCAGATGCGATGCGATGTCGCTCAGCAACCATTCCATTGTTGTTTGATGATAGCTTGTGACCGAGATATAAAAACTTAAGCGATATGATGATTGTAGAATGTGCTTTTCAAATTGGTTTTATCAGCTTTTCATGCACTTCGTTTTTTAGATGTTCATGTGCAGAGGGCATCTACCTCTAGACCCTCGAAGAGATGTATTTATTTTCAAGAATTAACCGAATTCTCTTGCATATTTTATGGACTACTTTTGATGCAGAATAAAGCCTTTTTTTTTTTTTCTGCTCCATTACAAGTTTTAGCATCAAATATTGTACAGCTGCACTTTTAAATCAGTTATATATATATATATATATATATATATATATATATATATATATATATATATATATATATATGTATATATATATATAAGTAATTATTTTGGGGATTTAGGGTAATCATATAGTAATTCGTTGAGCCTAGAATAATCCTCAACAGAATGCAGAAAGCACTGGACAGCCGTTTCGTCCTATCTGGAACTCATCAGCAGTGCGCGTCCACTACCAAGAATTGAATCAGGGCCGTTACGATACAACGCAAACGTCCTACCAACGGCCGTCCAGTGCCTTGGGTCACTGTTCCGAGGTTATCCACATACTTGGATGAGTATCGTGGGCATCTCGGCGTGGTGTAATGGTTAGCAAGCTTGGCTTGCTAGATCAGTTACTACTGAAAAGTGAGTTCGATTCTCACTGGTTGCCCCATCTAAGCTACGCTTGGAAAATTTCTTCTACTTGGATGAGTATCGATGAGAAAATGAGTGAGTAACGGCGCTATATCGAGTCTAGTTTGTGTCTTCTTCGTAGCCGAGTCCCGTGGTACAGTTGGTATGACGCTGCAAGACATATATAAAGTTCCCTTGTTGAGACTATGTAAGACAATTCCACTTGAACCATGACCCTGTTCCTTGGAAGATACAGATTATTATTGTTATTGTGTGTGGTATCATCTTGCTAAAGAGTAAATTTAAGGGCCTAATAACGAACCCCCTTTCGGGCTCTATAAGTAAAAAGGGCTCCGTAGAAGAGTCATTTATGCATATTTAGGACGGTTCGTTTAGATGAAGAGTTTCGCGGATGATATGTCCAGTTCCACACAAACTGATCTTTTTTTAACTCTGAGATGCTAACGTGTCTTGGAATTTTATTCACATGATTTTCGGTCCCCTTCTTTATCATACCTAATGACCCCCCCCCCCGATCCTGAGTATGACGATAAACTACATCCGCGTCCAGAATAAGATGAGAAACTATGTCCAACAGCAAGACCTCTGATCAAAACGTTTTGAGAAGCGTGGAACCACCTCTTAATTGATGGTGTTCTGGGTCTACCCTGACCCCGGGTGGTAGCACCTGTTAGGGAGAACAGCTATGGGAAAATAGTTAACACCCAAACGGGTCAAAACACCACGAAAGTTAAAAATAGGATTTAATACCAGAAATATTTTGTAAAAAATTATTACCAGCAATAAATTTTTGAAGGAAAAAAATATTACCAGCAATACAAACAGCTATACATTTTTTGAAAAAAAATATTAC